CGAGAGTTTCTAGAAGCTTGGCACTCTAATAGCAATAGCATCAACCGCCATGTCGACTTGGACGCTCAATACGAAGGCTTACGTTCACGGTTCGCCGGCTTGCGCCCACCCTAAGCCACCAACTGCTAATCCATGTTCGGCGATGTAGAATATCATGGATTCAGCACCTCCCCCACAGAGTGAACCATGTGTGAAACCCCCAACGCCACCCCTAACGTCCGCCACCTATCCAAACACGTTCTTCACCCCCACACATAAACGCCTATCTTGTCGATGTAACCTCGATGTCCCCCTGACTCCCCAGTAGGATTATCTCCCTCACACTTTTCATTTTCGTCTGACGACGGGTTGGTGTAACCGACTTGAAAATTCACGAGTATACCTCGATTTTCCGACGAGCCTTCTGCTTTTATATATATATATATATATATATATATATATATATATATATATATATTACATGAGCAGCTCGCTAAGTGTGCAACATGCATATATATATAAATAAATATATATGTAGCTCAGAGGGGGTATGCATTCCGAGTTGATATAATGAAAAAATATAAGAGGTTCCTCGGAAATGTCGAGTTGTACTCGTGAATTTTCGAGCTGGTGACACCAACCCGTCGTCAGACGAAATGAAAACGAGGGATAAAGTTAAATTGTCACAGTAGATCAGTTAGTGTGATAGGACAGAACAGACCACTGACGTGTGAGGGGGGGTGGGCTCCCGAGGTCATGGGAGGTCATTGAGTGAGGGGCGGGGAAGGGAGAGGAGGCGGAACAATTACGGCACACCGTGCTGGAGGGGGAGGGCGGGTGGTGAATCAGTCGGAATGCGGCGGCTGTATTCGCGGTCGTTGCTGCGTGATTAGGGCATCGGCAGTAATTCGTGAACGTAGACCCTCGTGATGAGTATCAAAGTCAACGTGGCGGTTGATACTACCCGCATCGGAGTACCAAGCCTCGAGAAATTCCCTCGCTCGCTTTGTGTTAGCCATGGCGACGACCTCAATGCCATCCCAATTGAATCGGTGGTCGTACTCGACTGCATGGGCAATGACGAGGGACAGCGGATCTCGCCGACGGAAAGCTAGTTTGTGTTCGTTGATACGGGTGCCCAGGCATCGACCTGTATGGCCAACATACACGCAAGAGCAATTAGCACATGGGATGCGATAAATTACATTCGTTTGTTGCTCTTTCGGGATGGGATCTTTCACTCGAGATAGTGCTGCGCGTAGTGAAGATGCAGGTTTGTGGGCAACGTGAATACCCAAGCGGCTGAACTGCCGGGCGATTATTTCGGAAGTTCCACGCATATATGGCAAGGAGTAGAATTTTCGCGTCACAATCTCTCCGTTGGGAGTGGGGTCTTGCGACTGTGTCTGGTGCCTGAGACAGTTCTTTACAAAACTGATCGGATATCCGTTAGAGCGGAATAACCGATACAGGTGAGCAAGCTCTTTGTTCAGGAGATCGTTGCTGTTACAATAACGGTAGGCCCGGTGGAACAGAGTTCGGACGCAGCTTCTTTTGTGAGCTGCGGGGTGGTTGCTTCCATAGTTGAGGATAATCTCAGAATTAAAGTCTTTCCTATGGACGCTTGTTGCCAGGGTACCATCGCTTAACTTCTGTATTCTCACGTCCAGAAACGGCAAGCTGTCTCCAGTTGCCTCTTCGCGCGTATACTGTATGGCTGGGAAGACGTCATTCAGTCTCTCATGAAGACGTTCGACTTCGCACTTCTTTATTATGACAAAGGTGTCATCAACGCAACGAAGCCATAGTTTGGGCTTGATAGTTAGGAAAACTCTCTCTTCTAGTCGCTGCAAAACTAGTTTGGCGAACAGTCCTGATATTGGTGAGCCCATCAGGGTTCCCTTTACCTGTTGGTAGTGCCTATTACCAAATTGACAATAGTTCCTAAGGCAAAGATTTAGCACTTCTATAACATGCTGCGTTGGGATCTCAATAGGATTGTTCTGTAGGCGTTGGGTTACGCATTCAATCGCCAAATCGTGTTGTATGGAAGAAAACAAGGCAACGACGTCAAAGGACAGGAAGCATTCATCGGTACTTACTCTGCGGCCTTGTATTCTGCGGAGGAACGCATGAGAGTTGTTAATGCTGTAGTCCGATTCATAAGTGAGCCGCTTCAGACGACTGTATAACCACTTAGCCATATTGTAAGTGGGTGATCCGATAAGTGGCACTATAATCCTCAGGCGGACATCCACCTTGTGCACTTTCGGGAGGCTATACGCGTGCGCGATGTGGGGATCACTAAGGGTCATCAAGTTGGAGTCATCTGGACTGATAACTTTCAAACGAGCGAGCTCATTAACCTTCTTTTTGATGCCTGCGGTTTGCTTTTTAGTCGGATTTTCAGTAGGAAGGGTATAGGCCTCCATGTCACTGAAGATTTCATTCGCCTTGTCAACGTATTCAATTGCGTCCATGATGACAGTAGCGCCACCCTTGTCTGCGGGAACAATGACAATACTGTGATCCGACTTCAATGATCGTAATGCCTGCGCTTCTTCGGCAGGTAGATTTTTTTGGTATCTTTTTTGCCGGAGAATACTGGTGGCGCAGCTTCGTATGTTCGCGCGCATGTCTTTCGGAATGTTGGAGGCCAGTAGAATGGACTCAAGCCCAGCTAGGAAGTCGGTAGGTGTGGCATCCGCATGATTAAATCCTAGTATCTTTGATCGGAGGGTGATTTCCGCAGGTGAGAGACTCCTCTTCGGTAGGTTGACAACTCTCGTGGTCAAATTTCCTCGGTTCGTAGGACGGAGAAGTGATTGCATTTTCTCCTGGAGATCAAGTCTCTTCTTCAATTTTGCATCCTTGGTGGTGGCGTTTATTCTTTGCTGCATATCCTGGAATGCGTGCTTTGGTAGCACTACAGCGCATTGATTTTTTAGGTCAGTAATTTTTGCTTCGAATTTGTGGAGACTATTGTGAACATCAGATATTACAGCACTCAAAACACACCATCCGTATTTGCACGCAAGAAATCTCCCGGTCTCATTCGGCAACGCCGGTTTGAAATGAACAAACTTCGGTAACACACCGTGATCGCGAGAGCGGTGGAAAGAAGTCAGTTGTTAGCAAGTCATCGCCTGTCTCTGTGTGAATTTCTCCCAACGTCTGGTAAAAATAAACGTTTGACGCCCGAATATACGTTGTATACGTTGTTCTGTCCTATCACACTAACTAATCTACTGTGACAACTTAACTTTCTCCCTCGTTTTTATTTCGTCTGACGGCGGGTTGGTGTCACCAGCTCGAAACTTCACGAGTACAACTCGACTTTTCCGAAGAACCTCTTCTATTTTTCATATATATATATATATATATATATATATATATACATATATATAAACATATATCAGCGAGGCGGAACGACAGAGAATGCGGTAGATATATACAGCACTGTTTCGGGCTTATTCTGCCTTCAATCAGCCAATCATAACCCTGACCACCAGCAGTTGGAACCAGAAACACAAACATGCGCACAGACGCACCTGGCGCAGTGGGTCCACCACTGAGGCCTACCAGATGGTTTGCTTTGTGAAGCCAATAAATCGGTGTGCGCCCATTCCTGATTGATAAATACCCGATCTGCAGCGACAGAGAATGACAGGTGGCGAGGCACTGATGAACTTCGTTTCGATGAAGTGCTTATGACCCATCTGGTAGGCCTCAGTGGTGGACCGAATGCGCCAGGTGCGTCTGTGCGCATGTTTGTGTTTCTGGTCTCAGCTGCTGGTGGTCAGGGTTATGATTGTCTGAATGAAGGCAGAATAAGCCCGAAACAGTGCTGTATCAATCTACCCGCATTCTCTGTCGTCCCTCCTCGCTGCTATTATGACTTGGCCGACTTCGGCCTGGTAATTGGTTGCCTGTTCGTGACCTTTGCCACACATACGGAGCTTGTTTGCTTTGTGAAGCCAATAGATCGGTGTGCGCCCATTCCTGATTGATATATATTTATACATTCAATTAGGAATAGGCTCACACCGATCCATTGACTTCCTAAAGCAAACAAGCTTCGTATGGTCGATAGGGGTCACGAACAGGCAACCACCTTCCAGGCCGAAGTCGGTCAAGCTATGATAGCAAAGTGGAGAAGACTGTTTCGGACTTGTTTGCCCTCATTCAACGAATCATAATCCTGACCACCGACTGGGACCGGAAACATAAACATGCGCACAGACACACCTGTCGCAGCTGGTCCATCACTGGGGTCTACCAGATGTGTCATAATCACTTAATCTAACCGAAGTTTATCAATACCTCGCCACCCGTCATTCTCTGTTGCTGCACAGTGGGTATTTATTTACTCAGGAATATATAGGTATTCAATGAGGAATTGGCGAACACCGATCTTTTGGCTTCCGAAGAAAACAAGCCCCATATGTGTGAAATAGTTCACGAACAGGCAACCAATTCCTAGGTCGAAGTCGGCCAATACATAACAGCAGAGATGAGGCACGACAGAAAATACGGGTAGATTGATATAGCCCTGTTCTGGGCCTACTTTACCTTCATTTAACCAAACATAACCCTGATCAGCAGCTGAGACCAGAAACACAAACATGCGCACAGGCGCATCTGGCGCGGTGGATCCACCAATGGGGTCTACCAGATAGGCCATAAGCAATTCATCGAACCGAATTTCATCAATGCTTCGTCACCCGTCATTCCCTGTCGCTGGTGATATATGTGGAATACAAAAGCGAGAGCAGTTTTAATTAATATGTCGTTTGTCTAGTTTGTGATTTGCTGAAACGCATAAAACGTATAATGGAGAGTTATATGTGGTAGTTTCCCTGAGTTGGCGTCATTTTTATCTATCTGTCAAGCTAGCAGTTATTCAGAGACTGATGATGTGAAAAAGGATTAATGAGAGGTTCTTGTAAAACAATTGATGCATTTCACTGATTCAAATTGGGTATATTTTCTAGCGCAAAGTAAGTGTGTGGAAACTCCGCCTCGTAGATATTTTATTCGTTTCCTGTTTGAAAGTGGTAGCATAAGATATCGGGAGTGATCGATTGACAGCATTTCAGGTATAAAAATTAATCGAGAATAATATTGCTTAACATCCACTGCGTACCAAACGTTTTATCGAAAGGGAAAAGGCTAAATGTATCTACGTATCCGACCGAGAGATGGATGCTTGGAAAATGCCAGTTTTGGATGGCATGCTAGTAATAGCGACTGCGAGGCAACATGACCTGAGAATGACAAACCCTCAAAAAGTTCGGGTTAATAAGACGAGCACACAATAAACAAACATCAAACAACAAGCACCACAACATATGCCAAACTCATGCCTGCTGTACATTAAAAAAAAACGAAATTAGCCAGTGTGATTTTTTCAGGTAAATGTGAAACGCACAAAAAAAATGCATGCCGTCCACTTTCCGAGTCCACACGCTGGACATATAGGTGTCCCCAAATTGAGAACTGCGCAATAAGGCACAGATGCAGGATTTACCCCATATTCGTCATTGAATACATCTGAAATGAGCACGTGCAACTAGGGAGGAACGCGTTAGCATTTGCGGCACAGCAGAAATGGTTCACGGCGCGCAAATTCGCCAAACTGAGCACGAGCTCATCGCGCGTTCTGTTGCATATGTGCATTATCAGACGGGCTTTTTTAGGTTTTTAACGATGCTGTATTAAGAAACACATGTAATAGCAATTAATCCATCCGCGAACCAAACATGGCACCTGCTAGAAACTGCATTTAGCTTTCTTTGGCGGCAGTGTCTATAAAAAATGCAATCTGCAGGATAGTGCGACCGCTAATAAGGTATTCCGTAACAATTGCACCAGTATTTCTAAAAAAAGGCAATTTATTATGGAAAGTACAAAATGTGGAAACATTGATATACGGGAACAATCAAAAGCGCGTTAGACGACTTCAGTTCTTTGTAATGGTTATACACGGAACTGTCAAATCAAATCCGCGAATAAGTCGTCGGTGTTGGAAATGTGCTTGATTGTTTTCTTTTTAACCAATAAACAAGAAAGCTAAATTTCTGGGAGGTACCATTCAAACAGACTGTGCATCTGTAAATCATATTTTTACCGAATAGTAAAAGACTTGTTACCTGTGGTGTATGATAAAGCTTTACGAGTTTACAGGCCATTATATGCATTATATGTTATCGTAAAACTGCTATCATTTTTGCAAACTTTTGCCTATCAAACTAATGGTGTGAATGTATGCCGTCAAATAGTAGGAATAACATTAAATGCACTTGAGAATACTTATGGGTAATGTCCTGGTCAGTTGTCATTTCAATTTATTTATACATTTACTTAATTATTTCAGTAGTTATGTCTCCATTGATGATTGATTTTAACGTTATCATCAATCAATGTGTGCGGCACCGCAATTCTAAGCAAAAATGCAGAATTTGACTATGAAGGTGTATTTGGGAATGTGGAGTCAATGTATCAGTACGGGATCGGAGTATATAATGGTTCAGGAAGTTCATCTGCCCCCTTAAATCTGAAGAGGTACTCGAGCCAAGAAGAGCATATTTGGATCAAATTTTCTTCCTGTCTTGGAGGACGTCCGCACTAAAAACATGGGGTTCTTCCGCAGGATGAATTGGCTACTAACTCCACTCAAGATACCTTAACCTTTCCGCGATATTGTTGCCAGATTTTTATTTAAGGTTGTCTTCACTTGTTGTGAATCCTGTCTTTGATTCCCTAGATATGTGGATTAAAGCATGCGGGGACAAAGCCTGCAAATTGCAGGCGACTATGCACGTGACTTGTTTTTCCAGTGCGTTTCCAGCATTTATATGAAGAGTGAGTTCCGTAAGAACGATCAGTGAGCGCTCCCTACCATTATCTATTCCCGATCGAAAACCGAAAGGGACGCGTCTCATGTCTCAGTGGTTGGAGGCGTGGAAATTCAACAAACAGGTCGCGAGTTCGAGCCTCGGGTGTGCCATATTTCGGGGTTGGGTAAGACTGGCTAACGACGTCTAATAAGCCAGAAATGGCTATTCCAGTCTCCCTTGTCTTTGTCCGTGATATCATTCTGCAGATATTAATGTGTCAAAAGAAAAGGAGGAATTCACCGGGAGGGGTTTATTGGAGGTCGACGTTTCGGGTAGTTGACTCGTCTACCCATTTTCAGAGACTGGAAAGTCCTGCTCACAGCCCCCCTTATATGACGCACTTTGTTTAGTGAATGAATAATCAACTACTTGAAACACCGGACATTCAATAAACCCCTCCAGGTGAACGTGTCTTATTCTTTAAATATGCCCTGGGGGAATCAAATTTTCACTATTATTGATATTAATATGAATTTACTGTTTACATTTCTACAGCACAGTCCCCAAGAAAGACAAAAATTTACGCTAAAATATTTCTTAAATTGGTAGGCCTTGTCCGTTTATGGTATTGATCCGTTGAATTAGTCGAATGACGTTGTAATACCAATGTAAGGAGTTTATTAGTAGGCCAAATGCTTGTTTATCTGAGCTATTTTTTTTTATCTTGACAAGAAACTCTAACAAACTCTCCGCTCTACTTATGGCGAAAGCATGTGTATTACGGTAAATAAAGTTGAGGACGAAGACAGGCTCTCCGCAAGAGGTTTATTTAAGTGCTGATACTTCAAAGAGCTGGGTCGGCTCTTCATTGGCAAAGCGTAAAATGCACTTAATCGATCAGAAATTTAATTTAAAGTGACAGTTGTGTTGGCCGGCCTCATGCTGATCGATTTTTCCCTCCTCTCACTGCCTCGGCCTCTCGGGAGACGGTTGACGCAAAACATCTGAAATGAGTCTCATTTTTAGGAAAACGAGCCCTAGTCAAGCAGAAGATTTTCCTA